GCTCAAGATGCCCCAGTAAATAATGGAGCCATAATTCAAGTCCAAGTGGTCTGACTTCTGGAGCCTGCATTCAACCAACATACCGTACTACCTTGTTATGGAATAATTGATGGATGGTTAGAAATGTAAGAAAAAAATTAAAATAAAAAAACTCCTCAGCTTCTGATCTTCTATTTAACTCAGTTTACTTTTGCTTTTTTATGTATTAACTACACATTTTTATTAATTTCATTTATGAGCTAAGTACATATTTTAATTAATCATCTATTGGCTATTATGTCCATTTTTTGGTGATCAATCTTACTTTCATGAGGGGTCACAGCACTCTTACAAAAGGTTTCAAGAAAAATCTCTTAGTCCTTTCCACCTTTCCTCCAACAAGATTGCCTCTAGAGCTTCTCTTATAGAAATTCTGATATTACCAGTGAACTTGGCATTCAGGTCATATCCTCGACCACCTATATCTATTTTGAAAATGGAAAACATGAGAGGGTTATAAATGCTACGGAAAGATCGTAATGTCATTCTGAGAATCAGAAACTCAATTTTCTTCCCCAGTTCTCCAGACACAGGCCCATGTACACAGCACAGGTGAGGGGGTGAGGTGTGTCCTAGGAGAGACAAGTATGTGGAAGGTGGCAGAAGGAACAGCAGGAGCCAGGCATGAATGGATTTTATCTATTCCTATTTTGAATCTGGGGCCCCCAGTGTGAATCTGGCTTTGCCCCTTACTGATCTGACCCTGGGTAAGTTAGTCACCAAGTTGATGTAATAACTCAACTCATAGCGTTGTTGTGCTACAAAGATTTAGTTATGTAATACTGAATACTTGGCACGTGCTTAGCACACAGAAGGTGCTCAGGAAATGTTAATTTTGCTCCTCTCCTCAAATCAGCTCTTCAGATACTGTTTCTTCTCTTCTTGGAGCTGCTCAGGTTTCCAGAGAAGTCCATTCTGACTTGCAATATGGGGATTTGAGTTTTCTCTTGATTCTCCCCAAAGAATGATTGTAGTACCATGGGCAGCCCTGCATCCTGCTCCTCACCAGGACCCCAAACATGTGGCTTTCAGCCTTACCTGCCATGGATGTTCAACAGATTGCTTGAATTCTTGAATTGCAAATGCTAGTGCCTTGACCAAGCATAAATCTGTCACCTCGGAGGTTTCGGAATGGCTCAATGCATTTCAATAAGGAGAATCATAACTGAATGAGAATTGCTAGTTGCTCTCTCCCCCTGGGCTCTGGAGGGATCTTGCGGATGCTCAGGGCAGGAGTGGTGCCTTTTATGCTCCCCAAATGGCTCAATGAGCTCTTTCATCCCAACAGATAGGCCCAACAGCTCCGCTGATAACTCTATGTTGTATCTTTTGGGCAATCTCTTGTTAATAATTAACGCCCCATCTTCTGTTTCCAAGTGTGACAGCTGTAATCATGTTCCTTTCAAGCTAATGAATTTCCTGCAGCAATGTGCAAATGTTAGCCAGGTGATGGCCCAAGTGTCACCCTGCAAGAAGAAAATGTTTTTGAGAAATGTAGATCAGAGTTAAAATGTCATTTCCTAAGCCATGCTGCCAGAGGCACATGCCATAACAAAAGTGTGATCAGAAATTCAAAGCTTTTAAACATCTTGCATTGGTTACATCAGCAGGTACAGCCTCTGTGGAGGAGAGAAGCTCAATTCCCAAATGTGACAACATGTGTGCCGGAAAGACACATGATTTGTTGTAGAAAACCTTGCTTTGCTCCCTGACCATATCACTTAACCAGCTGGTTATCTTTGGCAAGTCCTGTAACCTCTCAGAGCCTCCATTTTTTCATCTGTAAAATGGGAGGAAAATCCACCATACAAGATATTCTGACGATCAAAGGAGGCAGTCTGTGTAAACTGTAAAATGTTACCCCAAGAAATGAGGTTGATGTTATTTACATGGTAGTTACTCATCATCACTCATTATCAGAGCCCATTTATACAGAGAAAGGGTGGGAAAATGAAATACAACATTGACACGGACCCCAATTTAAAAGCAACAATCGAAATGCAAAAATACTAAAAATATAAAAATGGTAAAATTAAGTATAATAAACACATTGTTTTACATCAGGATGCTTCTCCAGAAAACAAGTACTCCTGTTACAATGTGAAATAGGATTCAGTTTGTAAGTTTAACATGTACCTATTTGGTAGAATTTAGTTACACTCGAACTTATTCAGTGTGATAGGAAGAGTAACATTCAGAAATTGTGGAAAACGTGTCACTCTTCCTTTGGCTCACTCAAATATCGAGATTAAATTTAACTCAAAATATTTATGACTTTGTTAGGGAAGAGTGAAAGTTTTAACCTGTTTAGGGTTTTAAAACTGCTAGAATAACAGCTCGCTTACTAGACCTTTATAAGCTTGAGAAGAGTAAACTGAAGCAGTCTATCCAGGCAATGGACAGAGCGCTGGATTAAATTAATTCAAAGCGAATGAGCTCATTTTACAACCTTAGCGAGCAAATTCAATTTCTTAAACAAAAATGTTATGCCTTAAGGGAATAAACACAATTCCTTATATTAAACATGGTTTACTTGTTTCAATGGTCAGGCTGTTTTATTGGTATGTCTTGCTTCTCATTAACTGTCAGCAAACAAAGGAATAATTTTATCATGAAGATAATGGAATATGCACAATTAAATCTGTTTAATCTTAAAAGACCTTTGCCCTACCTGGATCTGGGGTTATAACTGGATCCAAATATGTATTGATTAACCTCCTTGCTCTTACCTTTCCCAAGAAAAGGACTGGCTGGCTAAGCGTTTTGGATTTCACAAGGCTTTTTATTAAATACGATTTAAAGTTACATGTCAATAAATGAAGATTGCCTGAGAAGTCAAAGCCTAAACTTCTGTTTTCCCCGATAATGATGCAGGACTGTCCCCAGCTGGGTCCAGGGAAGTCACTTCCCTTCTTAGCCAGTAGAATGGGGAGGTGT